AAGAAATGGCGTTGTGGAAGAAGCGGGAAAACGCCGCACCGGGGCGTGGATAAGTGCCACCACCCAACTCGACGGCCCCCCTCAACCCCTACCTCTCTCTACTTTTGACAAGAAACACATCGGATTGTTCACGTGCACCACGGTCAAACTACTCCCGGAGACCCTTTTCGTGAGACAAGCTTTCAAGTGCGTGCGCATGCTCACCGTGCTTGATGGGCTTCGCCGGGCAGTAGAAAGAAACCTTGCTCGAGTACTTCGAAACAGTCTTGATCATTTGCTCGTCGTACGACAACCAATTGTCACACTCGACGTTCGCCGCCCATGCAGTGTTGAGGATCTCTTCTAGCTCCCTGCCAGACAGGGAAGAGCACCAGAAACACAGCACTTTAAAGGGTGGGCCGTTACCGGCAGGAACACGCTCGCCATTTGTCATTTCTATCTACTGTACCAGGACGACTACAAGACAAAATTGAGTGTCGGGTGATGTACTTGACGGAAGAAACTTCTACTCATAGAGCGTGCATGTGCCAAACTTCACTGCCAGCAAACCAAAAACAAACCATACGGCCCGCACATGAAATAGCGGCGCCGTAGACGGGGGAGAATCTTCGACTTTCCGGGGGGCTTCGGTACCCTTCGACCCACGTCTGTCCCGCCCCCACCATCCCAACTGCAACAAAACCGAAACGACGAGACCCAAACGAAATCGACACCCCAGGTTTTCAACAGGACACACAGATTGAAAACGAACACACCTGATATGCCACTTGGAGTCGTAATCTGGGTTTTCTTCGCCATCGGGTAGCAGTCGCTCCGGAGCGTTGGGGTCGGAGCAGTGAAGGAAGCGGCAGTACAAGAGCTCGAACACGTCGCGCGGCATGCACTTCTGGACCAGCGGGTAGTTGTCGTGGGCGGACCGGCTCCAGTGCTTTCGCATCCGGACTTTCTTCGTGAGGCCCATGGTGATGAAAATGCCGATCATGCCGTCGATGTGCTGCTCCTCGAACATGCCGTAGGTGTTGCGCTCCTCGGACCGCTCCCCGAGCGTGACGCGACCGAGCGTGGCGGACTTCTTCATCTGGTGTGGCTTCCGCTTGTCCTCCTCCCCGGGCGGCGGCGCCGTCGTGCAGTGCTTAACGTAGACGTTCGTCTGCCCACAAAATAACGGAGGAGCGGGGGCGGGGTGGGGAAGAGAGACACGGAGGTTAGATGGGGGCGGGTTTCGAGGCAGGTTTCGAGTCAAAGTCGTGTGCAAGGCTATTTCAGAATCGTGGCAGAGCTATTGGGCGCACGGCAGCAGGGGGGCAGCGACTTTGTGCGGGGTGGATGGGTACCGAAGAGAGGGCGGGCGGTAGGTCTCGGGTTGTTTATGCACCTTCATCGTACATATTCGGTTTCACCATTGCAAGCACTGGAAATTCCTGTTTCAATACTCCGCACACACGCGCACCACGGGACACATGAAAGCAAAGCGGTGCGTGTCGCAACAAGACAACAACATCATTAACTTACCTCATCCAGAAACAAATTTCGCGCCTTTTGCGGGAAGGCGAGGTCCAAGCACTTCTCCAAGACGAGGTCAAGCGAAAACTCCCCGCTGGTAG